TATATTTCAAGTCAAAAATTGGCTAGTGGTAACTGGATAACTCCCCCTTTTTTTTACTCTTTCTATTCCTGCTTCTTGTCATACCGTAAATTGTGAAAAGTGATGAGCTGAGGTACCGAATGGGAACAGAATTGCTACCCCGTACAAGTTCTCATACTTGTTGTTTTTTGTCAACTTTTTGCTGCTGCTTTTTCCCATCTTTGCTCTTCTTCATAGCAGTCACCAATATAAAAAAAAAAAAACAGAAAGGAAACTTCTTTGTGGAAGAATATTTGATGTAGCACTTGCTTTTTCATAATGAATTAAATTGTATTATTGATCAAAATGTCAAAATGAAAATATACTGTCTTTTTGGTGAACATGACTCAGTTGGCATGGTTGGCGGCGCACGTACAAGAATGGAAAAATATTTCACAACTCTTCGACTTTTTTTTTTTTGTATATGTATGCGAATATGCTTTGCTATCTAGCACACATGAAGATCCAAAAGACATTGCAAGAAAGAAAGAAAGATGGTAAGCTGAATTTGTTCAAAGAGACTTGGGGGGGTTGTGCTTGCCATTCACCAGGATTTTTACATGGTACCTACCTGTTCCTTGTTGAGATTTGCTTCTGTGGCCTGCGTCTTGCTTCGAAGTTTTTTGTGCTTGTTCTTCTGTTCTTTTATATATTTGAAATGTGTATTTTCACAATATTGACATTGTTTTTCTGTAGATATTTAGATTGAGATGAATGGCTACTCGTGTTCATTTTGACCCTCTTCTTGTAATTTCATGACGCCGACGCATGACCTCTTCTTGTTGATGCTGCAGTCGAGTTAAAATCAGCACTCCCGCAATAAAAATTTACAAACAAATTTCCTTCCTTAATCGACATAACCGGCAGCTTAATTTCCCTCAATCCAGCCCGTGGAGGCGCTGTTGGCCAAAGAAAGCTGCACAAAACGAAAAGCGTACAGGGTAGCCTTGGGATGGGCAAGCAGCATCGACATACATGGCCATGATAATCACAAAGTCACGTCGAATTTCAACAAAGAGAGCGCCAGAATCCATACAATATACAGTTATTCATTATACTACTACCTACATGTTTGCCCATACGTCTGTATGCCCACAGCCAGAACCCATTTTCCGAAGTATATATGAGAGAAAGGCGACAAGGAAAGAGAGAAAGAAGGAAGAGTAGGAAAAAAAAGGCCCGAGATCCAATGAATACCTTAGCCCCCCAAAATTTTCGTGAGAAGTGAAATGATAAGGAAAGCCTCGTTGCAAGCATATAAACATGATACTCCCCGTAGCCTTATATATAGATGACAAGGAAAAAAAAGGAAAGAACAAAAGACCTGGGTATAGTATCCGCGAGAAACTCGTCTACGCGACATTCCCGGGCCCCAAGATGAAATGCCGCAAAGATATAGAAAAAGAAAAAAAAAACACTCAAACATAGTAACAAGGCACTCTGGTATAAAAACGCAAACTCACTTATGAAATCCTTCCCCCCTTTCGTTTCCATGAAATAGCACGATGAAATGTCATTTTTTGCAATCTGGTTGTTTCACAGCACGAAAATCATTCCGGTCTAATACTAGCGATCTTCTCTGTCGTCTCTGCAAACGTGCCATTTAGGACAGTGTCTCTCCGGGAGTGAGGAAAAGAGATATGAGGAGCAAATGGAAGAGAAGAGAGAAAAAAGAAGAGATAGACCGACTCATGGATTTTGGTTCTCGACCCCCTCACCAGCCTGGGCACTCTATGCACCTTCGAGAGGGGGTACAAACGAATAGTTGAAATCAAGAAGGCCATCCAGCATCCAATGCTGGGGATCGAAAAAGTCATAAGTGGTGTCGCCGTAGCTCATGTTTCCAATGATGCTGGTCGGTGCGGTTGCAGGGGCAGTCAAGCCTGGGGCGCCTGGTGTTAGTACACCATTCGCAGTGAGCATGTTGTTGGGCGTGGGAAGAGTGTGTGATGGCATCAACGTGCTGTCAAGTTGCGAAGACGCGGCTGAGGACTCATTGGCCGAATCCGGGTTTGTAGGATGTTTTAAGGCGGCTGTAACAACAGACATGTTAGCATTCATTGGGCCTTGGTTTAAAAAAAAAAAGACCTGCTCCTCGTCGAAAACAAGAAAAGAGTCGAGAACAAAAGAAAAGGGGGAAATCCTGCAGGTTTGAATTGCAGCTGGTGTACCCACAGGTCGAAACGTATCTCTTACCTTCGAGCGATCCTCTGCCCAAAGCTTGATACTCCTCCCTCCATCGCCAAACGGAATCGAAGACAAGGCTCATGCTGTGGCGACATCGTACTTTGAGCTGTAGGCTGTCGTCGACTTGGATGGGGGAATCGTCCTCATGGTTGTAGTTCTTCTGATCCAAACGGGCGCCGTTCCACATCTGCACCATTAGTTCGGCCAAACGCCACTGTAAGTCATTGGACACCACGCTGGTAGCTCGAATGGCTTGGATGGAGCGGTGGAAGAGGTTTCGTCCACGCTGGAAGTCAATCGTCTTGGAGAAGAAAGACCTCATCAGCTTGAGCAAGGTAAAGGCGGCTGCTACCAACATCTGCTGCATGTAGTTGGTGGCATAGAGCAAAAAGGCGCCGCCAATGTTGTCGCGCGGAGAGGTTACCTTGTCCACCTCTAACAAATCGTCCAGAAAGCTGACAGTCACCCGCCACAGACCTAGCAAGTCATCTAGATAGCCGGGTGTCTTACTGGAATCAAAGAATCCCGCCAGTCTCATGTGGAGAGCAGCGGCCCGCAAGTGCAAATTGACAATCGGGCCCAGCTGCTGGGACATGACGGATGCATATAGCTCTGAGTATTCGCGCCGGTAAACTCTCATGAGCATTGCTCGATGCTCGTCTCCAGCAACTCCTCTGGGATCGCTGGCGTTACTATACATCTCCTTGGAGACCTTGTCACAGAATCTTTCGATTTGGAGCCGGGCCTCCAATTCGGGAGACAGGTGCAAGCCCGGGTCGTCGCCTGGTCGAGGAGCAAGTGTCCAGTCATACAACGACGACGCCGGTTGGCCGTAGCCTGTGCCGATATTTTGAGCCACAATGTTGCATACTGCCCATGTGGTCACACGGTCAGCAAGCTGTTCTGTGTTGAGCTCGACCGAGGTTCGCGAGAAATCTTGAATGTGGTTGGGGCGATGCAATCCAATTCCAGTCGCCGTCTTCATCATGACACCGCAAAGGATATGAGTCGGATCAGATGTGGTTGTGCTCGTGGGCAGCGGCCAAGCACAGAGCAAGCACATGGCCTTGACGACATAGTAGTTGCTAGGTACTTCGCCGATGGTGGTCCACAGGAATCTGGTAAGGGGCCCCGATAGGTTGGAGATGAGGTTCGGGCAGTTGGCGGGACTGAAGCGACGCGCAGCAACAGCAACAATGGACCAGAAAAGGAGGGGATGTTGTTGGTGATACATGTCCGGAGACTGCTGGGGATTCAAGAACGGGAGGAAGGGGTGGTAGAAGGCGAAGAATTCGTTGAACAGGTTGGTGACTCCCTCGTCAGTCAGCTGGACCCCTTCCAACTCGTGCGAGAAGCGCGGCATGCTGTACGAGCCTCCTCTCTTGAGGTGCAGCAGCGAAGACACGGCTTCGTCGGAGCCCATCAAGGAAGGGTTTCGCGTGTGGGAGTAGGTGGCGGTGCTCGGGGCCATGGGGGAGTTGAGCGTCTCGTCGTCCTCCAAGATGTAGCCTTGAGCCTGTGCCCGGGCGATGTTACGCCGCAGTCGGTCAATCTCCTTCTCCATCTCGGCGTGCTTGCTTCGCTTCCCGATGCGCTTGAAGTTGGATTCGATCTTGCATTCGAGCTTCAGACGGTTGCACCGCGAGCAGCTCTGGAACGGCTCCTGGACGACATTACACCGCAACTGTTGCGCAGCAATTGCACCACGAATTAGCCACCAGACAAACCAATTGCCGGACAGAGGCCGGGCCCCTCAAGCTGCTGAAGCGTGCACTGAAGGGGTGTTGAAGAAAACATGGTGGGGGGAGGTGCCAAGGTCGGAGGGGCTGACTCACCTTCTGCTGGCGACACTCGTTGCACGCCCGCTTGACGCCCGGCTGGCGCTTCTTGTCGTGCTCGCCGTGGTCATTATGGTCGCCGTGGTCGTCGTCGTTGATGCTGCCGGGGCTGCTCTCGAGCCCCCCCATGCCGTTGCTCCTCTTGCGCTTGGGCATGCCGTTGCCGTTGCCGAGGCGGGAGCTGGCAGGGCTGGTCGGGCTCATCGAGGCGGCCCCACGACCAAGGCCTGGTGAGCCATCCATGCCTGTCTGCGTGGCTGCCTGCGAGGGTGCTGTGTCTCCTATCGGCGACCAAGAGACGGGCGCTGGCAGGTGTCGTCTGGCAGGTGTCGTCAGGGCAATGGATGGAGGGGCGCGGCTGGGAGAGAGAGGCGATGTTCAAGTTGGCGGCGCCGGTTGGGTCGCTTTGCGCGAGGCTGCGGCGAGACGGAGCAGCGGCGGTGGCCCGCGGATGCGATGCGATGGATGCGAGGCAACGGGGCCGGCGGCCAGGACAAGAGAACAGGACGAGGGTCGAATGACTGAGGCTGAGGCCGAGTGCGGACGAGGACAGAGCACGGCCGACGCTTTTTTTGGTGATGGCGGAGGGAAAAGTCGCAGCCGCCTGGCGAAAAGTCGACGGTACCTTGCCGGCGGATGCTCAGTAAGGCATGGTGGCCCGGCCGCTGGCGGGCTTACATACATACAGCTGCTGCAACGGTCACCGTAGGCGATTTATTTTTTTTTTTCTGCCGTGGCCGACCCCACCGCTGGCAACCACAGCACGGCACGGCGCTGTATATTCATTCGCCTGTGCCGCGCTGCAGCTGAGCACTGATTCTGCGCCCCAGAGACAGCCACTGGCATTGATCACTGATCTCGCCGTCCCGTGCCATCGCCAATGCCTCTTGGCCATGCGCCTGCCGCTGCACTGCGGCAACCGGTGTACCAGCATCACACGCCTCCGTATGCAAGTGCTCACGACGTGCCAATGGCCGGCCGCCGCCCATCTGCAGGCCGTGTCCAAAGCGATCCTAAAAAGAAAAATGCGAATCCACCGAGCGCCACAGCGGGGATGGCGAGCGCTGATGGGCTCTGCTGAGAGGCTGGTTGCGGCCATGAGCCAATCAGCGCGCTGTGGAATTGATCAGGAGCGGGGTCATCATCAAACTGTGACTGTGGACATGGCGAACCGTTGCGGCCGCTGATTGGCTGCTGGGCAGTGGAGGGTGTTGGGCTCATGGCAAGGTTGCAGCAGCTAATGCCGCTGGACGGAGAAGGGCGCGGAGCTACTGAGTTTGTCTATTAGACGGGACGTGTAAGTAAGGCGCGGATGTATAAGTTGAAGTGCAGTTCGAAGGATCAGGGTTACTAATAGAAGTAGATGATTCGGGCTGCGAGCACAGTTGAGCACGAGCAATAAAAATGCAAATCAAGCTAGATAGCATTACTAATGAAACTCATGTATATGGAATTGATTGTATCGACGTAAAACAACAAACGGCCTACGTTATAGTCCGGCTATACTAATATCCATACTAGGCTGCTAACCTGCTGCTCGTCACATGAAACCAGGCAAATACGAGTCGCCCTTTTTGCCTTTTTGCCATCCCAGCAAGTAAGACGCTATACACTTGACTCACTTGTCTCTCTATAGGCAATAGTATTGATACTACTCGTTTTCCATTCAAAACGCCACCACACGTGTCCAATTATTCTTTATTAATTCGCACTCTACGTGGCTCCGTCCTTTACCCGAGCTATAGCAGCTTACCCAAGGCATTCAGTCCAGCCATCGTTTGATGCCACCATTGATATCGTGACAGTTGCCATGCGACATGTAACAGTTTGTGCATGTGTATATCCCGACACAGCATCTTCTTTCCCCGTCAAAACTCTACACACAAACACATTCCACGTGGAATTGTGCTACATCTGCCGGATACGGAGTAGTGCCGGCCAGCTGGAGTCAGCCCCCTGAGAGATCTTTCTTAACCTCCATCGCCCCATCTCACCACTGGCAAAACCCCCAGAGGCGCCCGTTTCTTCAGCCCAACGTGGGTATTTTGACATCGCCTCAGGCAGTTGAGCGAATGGCACAGACCGCATCGCCTTTGTGCCCGAACAAACCTGAGATTAGCTTTGAGTAAGCGCATCGCTTATCGGAAACGGAAGAAAAGACACTGGCAGATCGAACGTTGTAGCCTGTCTCGGGCGTAACTCTAATCGGCAACTTTAGCTCATCATCGACTTACCTCTTTTCTCTTGGAAGCGTGGGGTTTCTTTCTATATAAGGCGACACTTGTTCTTGGCCCCTTTGGTGCTATTACCGGTATTTCTTTTTAAGAAACAGATTGATCTGCCTGCTTGACGCCTTTATTTCTCACTTTTGCTTCTCACTAAATTACAATCGACATACGCTATTCGTCACATTGAGTCGTCAAGATGAACCGCAAGCCAACACCACCACCTGTTAAAATGGTGCTGAAGCCGGTGCCTGATCACGGAACTCGCATACAGTCCCCCCAAACAGGATCCGAGGTCCAGTTTGTTCTTCCTGGCACGTTGCCGGAGCCTGGTGGGTGCTGCGTTTCAACCGCATTATTCCTTGACCGTCACTTACATAGTTCTTCTAGAAGTCATCCGGATAAACACCGCAACTGTGTCTCAGCCCTTTCTAGAGCCGGATAAGCTGGAACAGTGGAAATGAGGAAAAAAGAAGCAACAAGCAAGCATGGCCACCGAAATTGATCTTTTGACTCTTTTCGACTCGCAGATTGCCGAATGATTCATGTAAATCACGGAACAGCTCGCAACTCCAGCGGTCCTTCTTTGAAAATCTCCACAACTCTAGCATTAACTCAATGTGGCTTTTTTCCTCTCGATGCGCAACATCAGCAAGGGTTCGTCGGTCACAAGAGTGATTTACTCCAAAAGAGACTTCCTCCATTTCTAATCGGAGAAGTGGAAGGGATCCTGGCCTTGCTCAGTGTCTTATAGTTGTCACAGTTGCAGCGGACATTACCAATTTTCTCGTAACTGAGTCTTTGAAATTGACCCCGCACAGACCATTGTAGATCAACCTTTTAACTCCGTCGCTCATCGAGGTTAAGAACTCGTCGAGGTCAAGAAGAAAAAAATCATCACCAAGTTGGAGTAGAGTATAAAGCAGAGAAAAAGAAACATACGCAACAAACCTTCCAACATGGCGCTACGACAGGCATCGCTGTTGCGCCCGCGCCTTGTTCTGCGCCACATCAACAGCCTTGCGCTTAGACAAGGGCCTTATTTTCACTCCATCGCAACTCGCAGCCAACAGAGCCAGGCGGCAAAGACGAGGTCCGAGGCCCAGGCCACGCCGACGGTGCCCTTCATCATCAACGGCAGCGACTACTATGCCGACAAGGTCTTTGACGTCGTGTCTCCCGTCACGGGCGAGGTGACGCACCGATGCGGATCAGCCTCTGTCGCAGACGCAGACGCCGCCGTCGATGCTGCAGCCGAGGCCTTCAAGACGTGGAGAAGGACGACGCCTTCGCATCGGCGGGACATCTTCCTCAAGGCTGCCGACCTCTTCCAGAAAAGGGGCGAGGAACTGGCCCAGATTATGATGAGTGAGACGGGGGCTGCCGCGCCGTGGGCTCTTTTCAACATCAACACATCGGCCGACCTCATCAGAGATGCCGCTGGGCGCATCTCCTCCATAGAAGGCTCGTTCCCTACGCTGATGGATCCTGACACAAGCGGAATCGTTCTTCGAGAGCCTTATGGCGTCGTGTTGTCTGTAGCTCCTTGGTAAGCCGCTATCCCCTTTTCAAGTCTCTCTCTCTCTGTCTCTCCATCGCATAATCTCACATCCTAAAACCAGGAATGCTACTTACATCTTGCCCGCCCGTTCCATGGTCGGCCCTGTTGCCGCAGGAAACACAGCCATCCTGAAGGCTTCAGAACTTGCGCCCCAGACCATGCGGGCTCTGATATCCATCTTTCACGAGGCCGGTCTGCCCAAGGGCGTCATGAACATGATTGCCCACGACCGGGACAGCGCAGCGGAGATTACAGCAGCCCTGATTGCCAACCCCCTCGTAAGGAAAGTCAACTTCACGGGCAGCACAAACGTTGGAAAGGCCATTGGGAAACTCGCCGGTGAGCACCTCAAGCCAGTCCTCCTCGAACTTGGCGGCAAAGCGCCGGCCATTGTGTGGGACGACGCGGACCTGGATCTTGCCGCCAAGAAATGCGCGTTCGGCGCCCTCTTCCACGGCGGCCAGACTTGCATGGCCACGGAGAGAATCATTGTCCACAAAAACATAAAGGCCCAGTTCCAAGAGAAGCTAACGGCCGCTGTCAACGAGCTCTACCCTTCCAACGGTCCCGGCGCCATTCTCATCAACCAAGTGGCCGTCAAGCGCAACAAGGCTCTCGTCCAAGACGCCGCTTCCAAGGGCGCGACGGTCTTGTTCGGAGACGCCAGCGCCAACGAGGCGCGCAAGACCGAAATGCGACCTGTCCTTCTCGACAACGTGACGCCCGCCATGGACATTTACAAGACTGAGTCGTTTGGCCCGACAATTGCCCTTTACGAGGTCGAGACGGAAGAGCAGGCCCTGCAGCTGGCCAACGACACAGAGTATGGCCTTACGTCGGCCGTCTTCACCGAGGATCTCAAGAGGGGCCTTCGCTTCGCAAGGGGGATCGAGTCTGGGGCCGTTCACATCAACGACATGACTGTTCATGACGAAGCAGTTCTGCCCCATGGAGGAACCAAATCTAGTGGGTTTGGGCGCTTCAACGCAACGGCTGGGCTCGAGGAGTGGGTGAGGACAAAGACTATTACGTTCAAGAACTAGGGTATCAACTGGGGTTTTTGTTTTTGTTCTTATTTGTTCGATGAAACACGTCACAGAGAAATGTTCCAAGTGGGCGGGTACTCTAATGTAATATTACTTGATTGGCTAAAGAGCTGGTTTGGATTAACTCAAAAGAGCTCAATATTTAATATTGATCTCTTTGTTTTTTTTGCTGCACTTGATAGCATGAAATATAATGAATTTGGAAATGGTTTTCTAAAATTGCGAGCATTTGAAAGACGTCTAAATCTCTAATTCTAAGCTTCAAAAACTGAGCATCAGGTATATAAGGTATATCAGAGAACGAATGGTATATAAACCTGAGTGGGTATCCGGCTATAGCAGCAAAGGAGAGAAAAGAAGAAACAAAGTACCTCCAAGAAACGAGAAAAGCAAAGGCAAAAATACAAATCTATCCGGCCTATCAAATGCAATGCCTACTGAAGCCAATGATACAAAAATAACTAGAGGAAATCCGCTCAAACAATTCTTTTGTCGTCCTCTCCAACAAAGTGCAAACTCCCACACCACAAACTGGCAACAAGTTTCTTCTCTCATGTCCGAAACTGTAAACGTATAATCGAGAAGAGCATATTTTGCAAAACGTGAAGAATCACCGCCACGCTCGTGGGCAGCAGCTCCGGCCAAACCGCCAGATCCAGCTTGCCCTCCAACCCAACGTCAATTCTAAAGAAGAGGGCAATCAGCCCCCGGACAACAAGACTAGCCACCAGCTCGCATCCCCACGTAACCATGGAGGCATAAAACGTGAGGTTGAAGTCGTATTGTAGAGTTTCATCCTCGGCCTTGTCAAAGGCGAAATACGGATACACCTCTTTGTTGGCGCCGAAATGGAGCACGAGGATGCTTCCGAGGAAGGTGGCCATGGAGGTATTTTCGGCCAGAAAACGTATAAAGAGGTTTCGAGTTTGCAGTTTTTGATATGTCTCGTAGGTCAACCCGCTAAGGCCTAGAATGGTGAGGATTTTATGAAACAGGCGAGTCATCATGATGGGTGAGATGATGACCAGTCCTGTGGAAGAAAAAATTTGAAGAATGATAAATTGGGACGGTGAGCGAAGACGGGCGTACAGAGCTCGGACGTAGGTCTGGTACGTCAACATGAAATATCTGGTCAAGCGTGTTAGTAGCAGTTTTCAATTAAACTCAAAGATGCAAAGAGGGGAGACGAACAATTTAAAGACCCAGCTTAAAGGATAGCTCCCTACACGCTCGCCTTCTTTAATGCCCAGGACCCAGCCTGTCAGGGCATCCAGCAAATGTACCGTCACCACCCAGCCGTAGACATACACAATGGTCTCAAAGTTGTTGTGCGGCAACGTCCGGAGATAGAGTTCGGCATACGCTTCTCCCAAAACATACGCCATCAGCCCGATGAAGAGCGCCACGCAGAACCACAAGAATCTCACGAAACTTGCTGGCAACCATCGCCGCCGCAGCGTCACCCGAGTTGGCCCTGAAGGAGGCAAGACCCTCAAGACATCCTGCTCCCAGAGGTCGTCTGGAAAGTCGCGGCGCCGCCGTTCTCGGTTGGGAAATGAGTCGGGCTCTCCCGTCCACCACGAAGTCGTAAAGATGCGTTGCGTCTCTGATAGAGAGTGTCGCAGCCCGATATGGCGTTCATTCGTCATGAGAATAAGAAAAGCGATGGCGACAGGCATGGCCATGATGATGAATGTCCATGATACCCATGCTGTGTTGTGGGCAGTGAGAAAGCGAGTAGAAGGGATGAAGTACAGGGGAATGGGCACGGCGAGAGATAGGATGGCCAAGAGAAAGACTGTGGCTGGGAATCCGAAAGAGCGCGGCCACCTAGCAATGAAGTTTGTTAGTCAGGCTGAAGCTGCATTGCCACTCTATAGGAACAGCCACCACCTACCAGTTCAATCTGTAAAGGTTGAAAACTTTGGTGATCCAAATCAGCGCACTGAGGTTGTAGAAGCCGTAGTAAACAAACAGGAAGAACCAAAAGTTGACCTGCACGCGGGCTGCTCCGTGACCCGGCGTCTTGCTGTCAAACGTCGCCACAGTTCGTGTAAGCCGCAGCCAAACGCTACTCTCGGCGCCGTCGTTGTCCTCGTCCGGGAACGAGTACTGCGGGAAAGGAACTGCGCACCAGGCAACGGCCTGAGTTACACCGTTGTGTCAGCTTCAGCGCAACTGCAAAAACGCTCACCCGCCGCCTGATTTCAAGGGTATTCGTGTATCAACATCAACATACCAGTGCCGCGGGCAGAAACACCAGCAGCCCATATCGACTCCACCACCTGTCCACCACGCGCTTCACCGCCGACGGCCTTGGATCAACAAAAAGATCGATAAAGTATCCCTGCCACAGCCGCTCCCATCTCGACATGCCCGCCATGGCCTCGTCGTCTCCGACGCCAGAGTTGCCCAGGGAGCCCAGGCGCGCAGCCTCGATCTCGGCCACAACCAGCGCTCCGTATCCAACATGGATGCTGTCACGGCCGGCTTCATAGTGGCTGGACAGCAAGCCCAGCGGACTGCTCGGTCGACGCTGTCCGATGCCAGGGCGGGGAGGCACTGCTCGGTAGCGACCAAGCAACGGCGACGAGTCTGTAGGCCGCACGCGCGATTCAGTGCCCTGGGTGAACTGAAAGAAGGTGGGCATGGCCAAGAAAAGAGGCACGCAGGAGAAACAAGAGGGCGCGAGGCGAGCGGCGCTGCTCGTCCTTCAGCCTCTCTTGTCGAGGTTGTAAAAGTTCAGATCAGCTCACAAAACAGCTCTCGACTCGAGCTCGGTCTTGCAGGCAGTCGGCTCGGGATGCGATTCGCTCACATGAGAACAAGGGCGCAGCCAATATGGAGAGATATGGAGAGATGACCTACAGCAGGGTCTCGTGCGCGGAGGGGCATCCCTGCAGCTGCATGATGGGGGAAACAGACCGCAGCTCGTGGTTGGACTGCGAAGCTGTCTCTGGCCTGCGCATACATGCCTCCCGCAGCACCGAGATCAGTGGCATCGGCACTAGCTGCTGCACAGCTGCTGGGCGGCAGAATGACGCGGTTGCCGCCAGAGGACCCCTGAAGCCACCTGGAGCCACCTGGAGCCACAAGGCGGTGTGCCGACATGACATCACTAAGAGCACTAAGCTGCTAGGCAATTTAGCGGGCACAGAGCTAGACGACTGTGATTCCACACCTCGGTAAGGCTATACTAGAGTACCTACGTCCGCACATTCCAATCTCAAGCCAATATGCGTGCAAGTAAATCAAGATACCCTCACAGTGGTTGCTCTCTTAAGCGTCTATAAATGTATTGTATTTTTCTTATATAAATGAGGGCTAATCCGCAGCGTCAGCCCCTTTGTTGCTGTTGACTGTGAGTATACCGAAACAAGCAATAATACGCTGTAAATGTGTCCAAATTTTGCACCCAGTTCCAAACTTTCTAAGAGAAAAAAAAATCCCGTCTCGCGCTTCATATTATACATGTACAAAGAAATCCCGTAACCTCAATCTCACTCTCCTCGCTAATGCCTTCTCTATAAGCCAAACCCGTCCTCGGCTGGGTAAATGTTTTCGCAAGTGTATTTCTCAACGCTTCGGCGAGGAGCCACCGAGAGCTTCTTCTCTAGAAATGACTGATGCGTCGTCTGCGTCTGAAAAGCCTCCCACCACATCATCCGAAAATGCCACCGTTTTTGTCGAGGTTGATTTGCGGGAGGGCTCGAGCACGTCTCCGTTCCACGGCTTGCACTCTTTGACATGTTCTCCGCACCTCAGACAAGTCCAGCCTTCGCCCTCTTCTCGATCCAGGCGCTGCGCAATGCAGACAAAGCAGTAGATGCACCCGCAGGGAATGGCTTCATATGGGTTGGTAACGTCAGTCTGGGCCGAACCAATCACGCCGCTGGAGGCTGCCGCTGCCATGACTTCGGATTCTGACGACGCCGCAGCGTTCTGGTCCTGGTAGCAAATGGCGCAGGTCCTCTCCGGCAAAAAGCCGTACTCGCCGCTTGCAGTATCGCCGGCTTGCTTTGTGCTGACGATATCCTTGGTTTTCCGCCAGGTGCGGCTCAGCCATCGCCGCCAACGGTTGATGCCAATCAAGGGCAGGACGAAGAGGAGGAATTCGGTGAAGGCATGCCAGACAAGCTGGCGGTTGAGGTATTCAAACGAGACTTCGCGGCTGACGTGGCTTGTGGGAGGCGCAAGCCGCATGCGCAAAACGCGGTCGAGGATTGTGCGATACTGTCCGCGGAACAGGAATATGAGAAAGGAGACGCATGCCGCCGCAGAGTGGACTGTTGTCAGCCCAGACGTCAATCGGGATAGTCGCTGCACCACAGGGGTAGGATCGCTATATCCATCGTCCTGGTCCACGAGCCAGTCTTCCCATCTTGTCCAGGCATATTTTCCAAATACTGTGACAAGGCCGTACATTGACTTTTGTAGCCTCGTTGGTGGTGCCAGCACAGGGCCCCCTTTTCTGGCGTCGGTATATTTGAGGTTCTGCAGAGCCGCTCCGTACGTCGCATCGTTATCCCAGACTGTCAGCTTGAAAAGGACGGCTCTTAGCGCCAGCATAATCTCTGCAGACCAGTCATCCTTGAGATGGCCGCCGGCATAGTATTTGAGGGCATCGCCGACCTGTCCCTTGAGGAGCTCCAGCAGCTCTTCGTCTAGGAGCTCGGCATCGACCTGCGCCACGCGGAACGCAGGCCGCGTGCTCTCTATGGAAGAGGCTGAATCCCACACATTGGCAAGGCGGTTGAGCGGATATGGTAGACGCTGCAGCTGCGTGTTCACGCGAGAGGCTTCGCGCTGAGCCGCGGTCCTGGCTCTCTGTTCGGCCTCGCGGGCCTGTCGTCGGGCAGCGACGCGCTGCTGGGCCTGGACGAAACTCGAGTCGTTCATCAAGTCGGCATTGAGTTGCGGCTACGGATTGTCGGTGTCTGTCGTGTTGTGTCGTGTTGTGTCGTGTCGCTTCGTAGTCTTGTCAAGGATGCATTGCC